TAAGTGAAGAATACAGTAAAACACTGATAAAGAAAATTCATGAAGACTTCTGCCATATTGGTATAAATCAAACAGAAGCAAAAATGAAACCATTTTATACAGCACCGAATCTATCAGATAAAATAAAATTAATTTGCAAAAGTTGTAAATCTTGTATAAAGAATAAGACAAGACTAAACAAGAAATTCAAATTGATGTCGCATTTAGGTCCTGCAAAAAAATCTTTCCAAATAATGTCCTTAGATACAATCGGTGGATTTGGTGGACAAAGATCGAGAAAAAAATATCTACACTTATTGGTGGATCATTTTACTAGATTTGCTTACATCTATGCTAGAGAAACCAACTCGCCCAAGACTTCATCAAGTTAGTGGAAAAGATTACGAGGGAAAATGCAATCGAAACATTACTTGCAGATCAATATCCGGGCATCAACTCAAAAGAATTTAAAAATTACCTTAAGGAGAGGAACACTGAATTAATTTTCACCGCAGTAGATGCCCCCTTTTCAAACGGACTCAACGAGAGATTAAACCAAACTTTGGTAAACAAAATATGATGTATGCTCAATAACGACAGTAATAAGAAGGCTTGGTCAAAGATCGCAGAAGAATGTTTGAAAGCATATAACAAAACAGTTCATACTGTAACAGGGTTCTCTCCTATCTATTTGATGAATGGCGAGTCCACGGATTTACTACCTCCGGAATTGAAAATTATAAAGGACTATGCAAAAAATTTAGAACAAGATCGAAGGATAGCACTAATTAGATCAAAAAAATCACACAAACACAACAAAACTCTATTTGATAAAAATAGAATAAAATATGATTTTCAAAAAGGTGATATGGTTTACGTAATAAACGGCAATAAGCTAAACAGAAAAAAAATGGACGAAGTGAGGATCGGCCCTTTTGAAATAGAGGAAAAACTCTCAGATTCTAGTTGTAAAATAAACACTAGAAGCGGAAGAAAAGCCATAGGCTTATCCCATGTCACAAAGCTAATTTCCATGTCTGACTAATTAGTGAAGTTTCAAGCTTAATTTCACTTTTATATTAAGAAGAGAGAATTAAGCTTCTCGAGGAGGGGAGATGTAAGCTTTGTGTACATGCACATCTGTAAAGTCATCAACTGCCTGAGGAGGTCACCAGACGGACAGGACAAGCGGCTGCCGAAGAATGAGAGAGATAGAGATATAGAGAATTAGGTGAAGAATTAGATAGAGAATTAAAGAGGTCAGCGAAAGCCTACGAGGATTGTTTTTCCGAAGAAATAGAAGATACCTCTAACTGTCAGAACCGAATGGTGAAGTTGGGATTGCGAAAGGAATGTCAATTAGAGACTGGGTCTTATTAATTGATTCCAAAATTAAACATAAGAGTGGAAGCATAAACATTTAATTGTTGATTCTCTTATTTTTAGGTTAGGCGACACGTGTACATATTGTAATCAGCTCAACATATTTTATTAATACTAATCTGATCTCTTATTTTTAGACGAATCAAAAATTGTGTTTAATCGCTCCAATAAGCCTC